CTCTTGGTGGCTTCAGTAGGTGCTGAACACGGCCTGGATGTGCTCCCCAGAGTGTGGTTTGTAGGTTCCGACCCCTGTGGCAGAGGGATATGTGAGGCTGGGACGTGAAGACCCCCAACATGACCCCCCACCTTCCCTGACTGCCCACCTTGATCCAAAGGTTTCCCAGAGCTGAGGAACTGCCAGTAGGTCCTGTCATTGTCACTTCCAGCCAGCCCGTGGATGGAGACCACGAAGGGACCCCAGGATGTCTGCTCTGTCCTGAAGCTGCCGGGGAGGTGAGTGTGCTCAGGGCTGGGTGGGGAGATACCAAACCCCACCCCTCTGGCTCCTCTGGCTCTCACCTAAAGTTTTCGGGATCCATCTCCTCCGCCCTCTCCAGCACCTCGAGCAGTGTGGAGTCACCTGGGACCGTCACTGAGATGCTGTAGTGCCAGGGGATTCCCTGGAGTTTGTTGGTGATGGAGTAGTGCACTGTGATGTCCTGGGACTCCCGTGGGGTCTGGGAGGCTCCAGGTGGGCTCATCATACCTGTGGGAACCCTGTGTGTCCCCCGACTTGGGCACAGATCCGTGGGGGCACCGCAGTTCAGCGTGGCCACATCCAGGTAGGACTTGCCCACGAGGGCCGGGAGCACCTGGGCGATGGCCATGGGCAGCTCAAAGGTGTGGTTGGTCACCACGGCAAAGGCCTGGGCACAATCCCAGTCCCGAGGGGCGTAAAAGTCCCTTGAGGCCTCCAGTGCCTGCGGAAGAGGTGGGAGGTGGCATGGGAACAAATCTGGGAACGGGACCAGGTGGCTGTGACGGCACATTCCCCACCCCCTGTACCTGCAGGGCCAGCCCCATGCTGTAGATGTTCCCGATCAGGCCGTTCCTCTCCTCCTGCTCATCCAGGAAGTCGTTGGTCACCGTCCAAACTGCCTCGTGGTGCAGATCCCGCACCTCCAGGTCCTCCACGTTGCCGTGGGCGCACAGCAGGGCCAGCACCGCCACGGCACAGGTGTCTGCGGGTCCCGGGGTCACTGCCAAGCCCCGGAGAGACCCCTGGAGCGGGAATGTGGGAGCAGAGGGATCTCTTACCCACACTGATGGGGCTGTTGGGGCTCAGCACCTCCTTGGCCAAGGCCACTGCTGGTCCCCGGTACCCATCTGCCCTGGCCAGGCACAGGGCCGTGGTGTCCAGGCTCACGCTGAACAGGGTGGTTTTGGGATGGCCCTTGTCCTCTGGAAAACAGAGCAGTGAGATGATGGGATGCAGGGAGGCGGACACCCCCCAGGGCCCAGCGTACCCAGCACGGCCATCTCCTCATCCGTTTTCTGCTGCAGGATGGAGATCAGGTCGATGGTCTGTCCCAGGGCATGGACCTGCCGGGGGTCCTGGCAGGACGAGAGGAGGGCGAGGACGTGCTGAGCCACCTGTCCTGAGGTCATGGCTGTGGGGACAAGAGGACACCAGGAGCGTGGTGGGATGGCACCTGTCTCCCCAGGAGCCGGCAGTGCCAAACCTGAGGAATCTGATCCCCCAGGACCAGGGACCCCCCTCATTCCCTTCCCTACCTTTCTGGGCTCTCGTCACCACCTCCTCCTTGATCTCCTGGAGCAGCAACTTGTAGTTGGGACTGTTGGTGTCCACCCCAAGCAGGCTCATGGCCAGCAGGATGCTGGGATTTGGCACCTCTCCGGGCTTGATGGAGCCCTCCATGCTCTGGAGCAACCGGCAGACCAGGTCCTGTGGGGCCGCTGGAAGGAGAGGGAAGGTCAGGGAAGGTCACTGGGATCCCCTGGCCCATCCACGGGCTCTCCGGAGTCTCCACCCTCTCCCACTCACCACAGTGCTCCGTGGCCGTGCAGCCCACCAGGGCCAGCAGGACCCCCACGGCCAAAGCCAGGCCCAGCATCCTGTCAGAGCACGCTGATCCGCTCGGGATGGCAGAATCCCGTGGGAATGGGTCTCTCTGGGCGTCCTCACTGCTTTTAACTGTTCCCAGTGACCTCCAGCCGCCCGTCCTCCCACGGCACCGCCGGCTTATCTGTGTGTCCAACTGTGCCCGGCCGGGGAGGGACAGGGATTTTCCACCTGGGATCACTGGGCACCGCTTGGGCCAGTTCCATATCCATGAGGCTGTGAGGCTGGATGGGGTTCCCAGCAGGAACCTCCTTCAATCATCTACCCAAGGTCCTGGAAGCCCCAGGAGGTCTGTGCTGGCTGGACTCTCTCCAGCTGTATCCCACTTGGGCCTTCCAGGAAACTCCAGCCCTGTTGATCTAACCTTGGTACCGGGAAAAACGGTGGGAAAGGACGTACTGGGCAGTACTGGGAAGCAATCCAAGGATAAGACCAGCATCAGGTGCGGGAAAACAGAGGGAAATTCCTGTCTAACTGGTTTCTTATCCCGCTACCATAAGGTCACCCAGGTTATGGGCAGGCACTGCATGTAATTTTGGGGATTTTAGAAGGAGTTTTGCTCCGGCCCCCTCACAGAATCCTTCTGGAGAAGGTGTCCAGCTGTGGGACGGGCAGGGACAGGGTGTGCTGGGCAAAGAACTGGCTGCTGTACTGGTTTCACTGGGATAGGGGCCATTTTATTCCAGGTACTGGGTTTGGATTCAGGACAGGGATGCTGTGGGTCACACATGGACGATTTGGTGTGTTGTCACCAAGGACTCTGCAGCGTCCCACGGGAGAATCCATGTTTCCCATGTTCTGCCAGCCAGGAGGTGACACCATCATCATCCTCCTCACAACATCATCACCTTGTCCTGCTTGGCCGAGAATCTTCCATGTGCTCTGCTCCACGGGGGCCTCCAGTGCCCCCCGGGAGCCCCTTTGTCCCCCTGAGCACTGGGGTGACCTGGGGCTGGGATGTCACACAGGAGTCCTCACCTGCAGGGCTGTGACACTGCACGTGCTACCAGCCCCTGGCTCCCGGTACAGTCCAGGCAGGTTCCCCTAAGAAGGGGAGGTGGCAGCCCTAAAATGCCTGAAAATTCACGGGGAAGGGGGGGGGTGTGGGGTGTGTGTAAAACACTGCAGAGTTCCTTTTTTTTATGTGTATTGGGAAATAATAGTATTTTGTTTCAAAATCGATTTCAGAATGAGCTCCCATGTCTGGTGTGTTATAGACAGGATTTTATTCCATAGGAAAGTCTGAACGTGGATCTGTAGGGTTTGGAAATACAAATCTAACGTTTGTGCATAGAAATAAAACAATACAGGACTTGGAAATGTGCCAGGTGACCTGTATGGAGGAACAAGAAGCAGCTCTGCGTGTTCAGATGTTTGTTCTCTCTCCCCTCGCTGTGACTCCCCAAATCCGGGATCTGGGCCGGGATTTCGGGGGGGGCTCATTCATTAACCCGCGGCGGCTCTTTGAGCTCAGTGCTGCCGTCTGCTGGGAACCCCCGGCACTGCAGCTCGGGAACGGGAATGGGAGCGGGAGCGGGAACGGGAACGGGAGCGGGAATGGGAACGGGACCGGGAATGGGAGTGGCACCGGGAATGGGAACGGCAGCGGGAATGGGAACGGCAGTGGGAATGGGAGTGGGACCAGGAATAGGAGCGGGAGTGGCACCGGGAATGGGAGCGGGAACGGGAATGGGAATAGGACCGGGAATGGGAGCGGGAGCGGCTGAGGGATGAAGCGAGCGGGGCTGCCCGGGGCGTCACTGTCGGGGGGATTCTGTAGGGGACAAAGGGGACATGCTGGGGAGAGAGCGGACATTCTGGGGTAAGGATGAGGGAATCGGGGGTGGACAGGTAGGGAAAATCCCAGTCTGGATAAAATGGATTTTAAAACCCACCTGGGAAATCAGAGCTGTTCCAGCAGCTTTTCTTCCCATTGCTCCCCAGGTGTTTCCCTTATTTTCTGGTTTTCAGAGAGGAGCATGGTTTGGGATGGCACGGCTGTGCAATTTTTTGCAGTGATTTGGGTCAGTTTCGGGTCATTTTTTGGAGTGATTTGGGTCAGTTTTGTGTGAGTTTCTGGTCACTTTTTGGGGTGATTTTTTGAATGAGTTTTGGGTCATTTTTTGGAGTGATTTGGGTCGGGTTTCGGTTATTTTTTGGGGTGATTTGGGTCGGTTTTGGGTCATTTTTTGGGGAGATTTGGGTGAGTTTGGGGTCATTTTTTGGGGAGATTTTTGGGTGAGTTTTGTGTCATTTTTTGGAGTGATTTGGATCAGCTTCTGGTCAATTTTTGGAGTGATTTGGATCAGTTTGGGGTCATTTTTTGGGGAGATTTGGGTGAGTTTCTGGCCATTT